AAAAAAAAAAAAAAAAAAGTAGATTTACTGTACATGAACTAAAGTATCCAGGAATGTAACCATTCGCCTTCCCCACATTAATGAAATGTTAAATACGATGCCTCCTGAAACTCTGGAAAAGTAGCCTCAGAGGTGTCTGACTAGCAATTTTCCTGGACGTGCCCTGAAGCTGGCAGAATAAATCTCGATGGAGACTCTTGTCACTGTAACTAATTTGTCATCACTGTATACCTGGCCCTAAGTATCTCGCAAGCCAGGAATCTAGGGAGGACGCAGAGAGATCCACTGAATGACCATGGGCTTGTGGTCCATTCTGAACATGGAAGAGAAAAGCTAACCGAATGGTCGAAGGGTTGCTCCTTCCCCTCCCCTTATCGAGGCTGTACCCGTCCCCTCTGGAGGAGGCCACCGGGCGGCAGCCCCACGCTGGGCCTCTGGAGTCACCTGCATTATGGGAAAACAACAGGCTGTGCTCGAACCACAGAAGCAGAATGCCTCTCTGGCCAGGGACGATGAGGATGTCGAGAGTCCCGTTATAGTCAAATGACAGCCCTAAACTCCGGTTGAGGGGGTGGTCTGAGTACTTGAACATGCCCTGGGGAGAAAACACAGCATTCAGCCTCTCCCCAGACCTTACTGTGGAGTTCTAATGAGGGCAGTGGAGTCCAGCCAGCAGGAGCAGGGGAAAGCAAAGAAAGCAGAGAAGCCACAAGTCTGCCTTTCTTTTTTACTTTATTTTATTTATTTATTTGTTGAGACGGAGTCTCACCCTGTCACCCAGGCTGGAGTGCAGGGGCGTGATCTCAGCTCACTGCAACCTCTGCCTCTTGGGTTCAAGTGATTCTCCTGCCTCAGCCTCCTGAGCAGGTGGGAGTATAGGCACCCACCACCGCGCCTGGCTAAGTTTTGTATTTTTAGTAAAGACGGGGTTTTCACCATGTTGGCCAGGATGGTCTCGATCTCCTGACCTCATGATCCACCCCGCCTCGGACTCCCGAAGTGCTGGGATTATAGGCATGAGCCACTGCGCCCAGCCTCTTATTTTTATTAAATACAACTTTACTGTTTTGCTAGGGTTACATTTCAGTTTAACCATTGAAAATTTAGCTCTGAATGGAGAATTACTCTAAGTGTCAAATGTACAATGCATTTTGAAGACTTATTTATTTCATTTTTGAGATGGAGTCGGGGTCTCATGCAAAGGCCAGAGTGCAGTGGCGCGATCTCGGCTCACTGCACCCTCCACCTCCCGGGTTCAAGTGATTCTCCTGCCTCAGCCTCCCAAGTAGCTGGGATTACAGGCGCCTGCCACCACACCTGGCTAATTTTTTTGTGTTTTCAGTAAAAATGGGATTTCACTATGTTGGCCAGGCTGGTTTCAAACTCCTGACCTCAAATGATCTGCCCACCTCGGACTTCCAAAGTGCTGGGATTACAGGTGTGAGCCACTGTGCCCGGCCACGTTTTGAAGATGTAGTTGTACAGAAAAATGCGAACTGTCTTATCCGTGAGTTGTTTATATTGATTACATACCGAAATGGGACTTTTGGGCCAGACACAGTGGCTCACGCCTTTAATCCCAGCACTGTGGGATGCTGAGGTGGGGGGATTACTTGAGGTCAGGAGTTCAAGACCAGCCTGGTCAACATGGCAAAACCCTATCACTACTAAAAATACAAAAATGACCTGGGCTTGGTGGTGGGCACCTGTAATCCCAGCTATTCAGGAGGCTGAAACATGAGAATCATTTGAGCCCGGGAAATGGAGGTTACACTGAGCCCTGATTACACCATTGCACTCCAGCCTGGGTGACAAAGTGAGAATCTGTCTCACAAAAATAAAAAAAGAAATGATACCATTTCTACTGAGGCCCGGCACAGTGGCTCACATCTGTAATCCCAGCACTTTGGGAGGCCAAGGTGGGTGGATCACTTGAGCTCAGCGGTTTGAGACCAGCCTGGCCAACATGGTGAAACCCCGTTTCTACAGAAATATAAAAAACAATTAGCCAAGCATGGTGTTGTGCACCTGTAATCCCAGCTACTCAGGAGGCCAAGGCAGGAGAATCACTTGAACCCAGGCGGCAGAGGTTGCAATGAGCCGAGATTGTGCCGCTGCACTCCAGCCTGGGTGACAGAGAGAGACTCCATCTCAAAAAAAATTAAAATAATAACTATTAATTTAAAAACACATTATTAATATGGTTTGGCTCTCTGTCCCCAGCCAAATCTCATCTTGAATTGTTATCTCCATGTGTTAGAGGAGGGGCCCGGTGGGAGGTGATTGAGTTATGGAGGCGGGCTTCCCCCTCGCTGTTCTGATGATAGTAAGTGAGTCGTTAGGAGGTCTGATGCTTTAAAAGTGGCACTTTCGACAAGGCATGGTGGCTCACACCTATAATCCCAGCACTTTGGGAGCCCAAGGCAGGCAGATTACGAGATCAGGAGCTCAAGACCATCCTGGCCAACACGGTAAAACCCCGTCTCTACTAAAACTACAAAAATTAACCAGGTGTTGTGGCGGGCACCTGTAATCCCAGCTACTTGGGAGGCTGAGGCAGGAGAATCACTTCAGGGAGGCGGAAGTTGCAGTGAGCCGAGATCATGACACTGCACTCCAGCCTGGGTGACAAGAGCGAGACTCTGTCTCAAAAAAAAAAAAAAAATTATTTATTTATTTATTTTTATTTATTTTTTTTTTTGAGACGGAGTTTCACTCATGTTACCCAGGCTGGAGTGCAATGGCACGATCTCGGCTCACCGCAACCTCCGCCTCCTGGGTTCAGGCAATTCTCCTGCCTCAGCCTCCTGAGTAGCTGGGATTACAGGCACGCGCCACCATGCCCAGCTAATGTTTTGTATTTTTAGTAGAGACGGGGTTTCACCATGTTGACCAGGATGGTCTCGATCTCTTGACCTCATGATCCACCCGCCTCGGCCTCCCAAAGTGCTGGGATTACAGGCTTGAGCCACCGCGCCCGGCAAAATTATTTATTTTTTGAGACAGAGTCTCATTCTGTCATTCTGTTACCCAGGCTGGAGTGCAGTGTCGCAATCTCGGCTCACTGCAACCTCCGCCTCCCGTGATTCTCCTGCCTCAGCCTCCTGAGTAGCTGAGATTACAGGTGCGCACCACCACACCTGGCTAATTTTTGTATTTTTAGTAGAGATGGGGTTTCACCACGTTAGTCAGGCTGCTCTCAAACTCCTGCCCTTGTGATCCGCCTGCTTCAGCCTACTGAAAGTGCTAGGATTACAGGCATGAGCCACCGCGCCCATCCATAAATAAATTTTTTAAAATGTGTGAGTTGTAACAAAAACCTGGGCTTGGGCAAAGGTCGTCTGAGTAGTTCTTCCCTGTGTTAAGTTACTTACCTTCCCTTGATCAACTACAAGGATCCCAACCTGTGACAAAGAAAAAAACTGGAAGATTCCACCTAAAGACCCGGTGATTTCTGCCTATGAAACAAACAGAAAATACTTTATATAAATAAATCTTGATATGCATGTGTTTGTCAATTTCAGTTCGGGCCAGGCTCGGTGGCTCATGCCTGTAATTCCAGCACTTTGGGAGGCCGAGGCGGGCAGATCATGAGGTCAGGAGTTTGAGACCAGCCTTCCCAATATGGTGAAACCCTGCCTCTACTAAAAAATATAAAAATTAGCTGGGCATGGTGGCATGTGCCTGCAGTCCCAGCTACTTGGGAGGCTGAGGTGGGAGAATCACTTGAACCTGGGAGGTGGTGGTTGCAGTGAGCCAAGATAGCACCACTGTACTCCAGCATGAGCGACAGAGTGAGACTCTGTTTAAAAAAAAAAAAAAAAAAATTTGGCCAGATGCGGTGGCTCACGCCTGTAATCCCAACACTTTGGGAGGTGGAGGCGGGTGGATCACGAGGTCAGGAGTTCAAGACCAGCCTGGCCAAGATAGTGAAACCCATCTCTACTAAAAATACAAAAACTAGCCAGGCGTGGTGGTGGGCACCTGTAATCCCAGCTACTCCGGAGGCTGAGGCAGGAAAATCGCTTCAACCCGGGAGGCAGATGTTGCAGTGAGCTGAGATCGTGCCACTACACTCCAACCTGGGTGATAGAGCAAGACACTGTCTCAAAAAAATATAATAATTTAAGTTCAGATTAATAAGTTATAATGAAGGAAAATTATTTATTTATTTATTTAGAGACGGAGTCTCGCTCTGTTGCCCAGGCTGGAGTGCAGTGGCACGATCTCGGCTTACTGTGCCCTCTGCCTCCCAGGTTCAAGCGATTCTCCTGCCTCAGCCCCCTAAGTAGCTGGGACTACAGGTGCCTGCCACCAGGCCTGGCCAAATTTTGCATTTTTAGTAGAGACGGGGTTTCACCATATTGGCCAGGCTGGTCTCGAACTCCTGACCTTGTGATTCACCCACCTCAGCCTCCCAAAGTGCTGGGATTACAGGCGTGAGTCACTATGACCTACCAGAAAGTCTTTTTTTAGAAAAACAAAGCAAAAAAAAACAAATAATGCCTTCCGTGGAAATATGGCATGCCATCGGGCTCGGGGGCTCACGCCTGTAATCCCAGCATTTTGGGAGGCCAAGGTGGGCGGATCACCTGAGGTCAGGAGTTTGAGACCAGCCTGGTCAACATGGTGAAATCCCGTCTCTACTAAAAATACAAAATTAGCTGGGTGTAGTGGTGTGCACCTGTAATCCCAGCTACTCAGGCGGCTGAGGCAGGAGAATCACTTGAACTGAGGAGGCAGAGGTTGCAGTGAGCCACGATCGTGCCAGTGCCATCCAGCCATAGTGACAAAGTATGACCTTGTCTCAAGAAAAAAAGGAAAAGAAATACGGCACTCGGAGCAAAAACTTGAAAGAAGACAGTTTTGGTCTAGGTATTTGGAGGAAATTGACATGACCCAGACTGCTAAAAGGCTGCCTGGATCTTTCATTCCTGCCTGGAACTCCTCATTCCTGATTGTTGGCTGGACAGCAAAGTGTCTAGCAGCTGATTTGTAACATGAGTCAAGAACCCCACCCAGGGATAGTGAGGTGGAGCCAGAGCAGCCCGACTGGCTACCTCCAACAACTTGCAGAGAGATTTATTTACTTATTTATTTATTTTGAGATGGAGTTTCGCTCTGCTGCTCAGGCGGGAGTGCAGTGGCGCGATCTTGGCTCACTGCAACCTCTGCCTCCTGGGTTCATGCATTCTTCCCTGCCTCAGCCTTCTAAGTAGCTGGGACTACAGGCACCCACCACCATGCCTGGCTAATTTTTGTATTTTTTTTTTTTTTTTTTT